GCAGGTCGACCACGTTGCCCTCGTAGTCCGTGAGCCTGAAGCGGAGGTATCGAAGCGTGATCGGGCCCCGGATGTTGACCATGTGGTTCTCGTGGGTGTCCGTTTCCATGATGTGGCCCACGCCCTGCTTGCACACAATCTTGGCGATGATGTCGTGCCCCAGCGGGCCCACGGTGTCTGCGGCGTTGGACAGGCTGCTGCAACGAAGGTAGACCTCCGAGTAAGGCTGCATCTGCACGAAGGTGAACACCTCTTATTGCCCGCCTCGTTGATAAAGCTGGGGCTGAGCAGGTGGTAGGGGCTTGCTGGGCGTGGCGCCTTGCAGGTAAGAACCGCTGCCCGGAAACTGCGAGCGCAGCTCCTGATCGTTCAGGATGAGTCGGTTGCCGTCGTGGGCCACCTCCAGCTCGTTGCGCAACTCCACATAGGTGGCGGCGGCGAAGTTGCTGCTGAGCCAGGCGGCCAGGCGCACTCCGGTGTACGCCCCCGTGGGCAGCTGGGCCCAGTTCAGAGTGCCCAGGGCGGTGTCCGGCCAGTTGAGGTAGGTGCCGCGGTCGGTGCTGAGGAAAGTGTCCGCTGCCCTGATCTTGAAGACTCCCAGCCGGGCGGAGCCCTGCAGGTGCACCGTTTCCCCAACGTCAAACTCGAAGTCGGAGTCGGTGCCGGCCACGCGCTTTCTTGAGTCGACCCAGATGGAGGTCATGATCTTTTTCTTCTTACCAAAGAACCGTCCTGCTGGGCCGGGCAGGCTCGCGACTGTCGCTGCAGAGTCCGCTGACGTCTGTGGAGTCCATTGCGTTGGTTGTTGCATCCAGGGCGGTTTGGATGGGTCGTAGACTCTAGGCGCGGAGCTGCAACAGCTGATGTTCCGACACTTGCTCTGACACAAGGTGCTGCTCCCCAGGAGCTTGCTGAAGACCGTCCCCAGCACGGCTCCCATCGTTTGCTACACTGGGCGCGCCTATCAGGAACCGCTTCTCAAAGCGAACGTGGAACATCTCGTCCGGCGAGTTTAGCAGGTAAATGTAGAGGAAGCTGTAAGGCTCCGAGACCGCCGCCTCGTACATCGCCTCCAGGTCCGCCTTCGGCACGAGAGCTGTCAGCTCCTCCAGCAGGCTGTCCTTTTCTAACTGATTGCGCAGGCGCCACACCATGAAGAACTGAGAGTTGACTCGGACCGCGTTGCTGATCAGGCGGAGCTTCTGCGTGGAGAC